TATATATATATAATTTTTAATATACATATTTAATATATATACATACTATATATATGTATGTATATTGTAAATGTTTTTGCAAATTGCAAAGAAAATAAATGTAACTTTAAGTTTAAAATAAAACTTGGTGTAGAATTTGCAATTATTTCCCTTTTAATGCTAAACTTTAATTAATTAACTTTAATGTTTATCATATTCCGAGTACAATATTGTGAAAACTTTCTGGTATTGTCTTTATTATACAGAAATAGTTGGACGAATATAGAGTATAAAGTTGAAAAATTACTGTGGCGTTAACTAAAAAAGAGATGAGTTTTATTTATCCTAGTAACATAAAAGGTATAAGTAAGTTTTTTTTATAAATGAATAATATACTACGTTCCTGTCGCCCATGTTATATCTTAGATATTTTCGTACATATTTTATAAAAATTATTTTAAGTTACGATTGTAGATACTGTTGCAATTAAATATGTACTACAAAATTTATTATCAACGAAAGGTTAATATATGTATATATAGAAAAATACAATTGCGAAAAATAATTTTGCAGTCAATTTTAACTATTGCATTATTTAAGCAAGTTTGCTATTATTGCTAACTGTAGAACATTTCTAGAAAAACAGCCTTTTAATTCTAGATGTTAATAATTTATGCTACATCTTGTTTTTTTTTTTTTATTATGACGAGTGTAACAAGTATTAATTTAACACTGTTTAATAAAAAAATCACTTTTTGTTAAAATAATTATTTCCCGTAATTTTTTGAGTGCTGAATACGATCTCGTTTACCAAAATGTCATGTCATTGTCATGTTTTATGTGATAAAGCTATTTGATAAACAAGATCGTATTCAGTGCCCCAAAAAATTATGAGAAATGATTACTTTTATTCTTATGCATTTTTTTAATTATACAGTCTTTTATTAAAATGGAGATTGAAGAGACGGAGTATGTGTTAAATGTTAAAGGTTCGATATGTAAAAGATTTTATGCAACACGTGGATAGAAAGTGCCCCATTACGCACGCTACGCGTGCGTGATAGACCACTTTCCAGGCACTTGCAACATAAAATAGGGTGTGTAAGTCGTGCGTAAAGATGAAAATTACGGCACTTGATACACAAATAACTATTTCCTAACGCGAGCGTGAAATGGGCCGCTTTTCGCGTTTGTTTTTAGTGAGCAAAACGATCCATTTTTCCACTAGTTGAGAAATGGAGCCATTTCTCAACTAGTTGAAAAATGAAATTGTAAAACAAGCGCAAAAAGCGGCCTGTTTCACGCTCTTGTTAGGAAAAATAGTATGAACAACTCGTGGGAAGAGTGGTCGAGCCCAAATGAATGCGACCAACTTCACACTGATTCAGAATCGACCATTTTTTCCACTAGTTGTACAATATACTATTTCGAAATGAAACGTAACAAACGTTATAGAATAATAATCTTATTAGATTCTCAGGTTGCCAGCAACTGATATTTAACTTTGAGAAATATTTGTATCAATGCGAAAAATGAAATAAAATCAGAAAAGATCATGTGTATTAGACGTCGTGTTTCAAATTTATGATTCTTTCAGTTTTCCATTCAAGATTTCGGCGGAGATGCCGTTTACTTCTGTCTTTGGTGTTGCCATTTTGCTTGCTGGTTTTTTCTTCATGTACGTTTTATAATAAAAATCTCCAAATAATATAATCATAAATAAATTCTGCGGTACCATTATGTATGCTGGCCACAATGGAAAACCGCAGTCTTTCACCCAGACTAATTGTAAATAGTGTAACGTGATCATGAAAAATTGGACCAGCTGTAGCTGAGTGATGTACTTTTTCCACGCGCTTGTGTTTATCTTCATAGACGCTAACAGATAGTGCGTGTACATTATCACATGAACAAATGTATTAATTAATCCTGAAATACAATGTTAATAATTAGTTAATCGTTGTAAAATTCTTCTGTACAAACTTATTAGTTGATACATTTAATCCTAATAGATATATATAATGTCTTCTCATCTTTATATTATTCTTCTTACGTTTATATTGATTACAATTTTTATAAAGAAATAAGATTTACTTTTAATTATATCGCTAAATTTACAATGTATTTCAAATTAAAAGACATGAATATAAAGCATTAATTTCTGTAAATTCTGTAAATTAAATTTTGCATTTTTTATACATACCTAAGAAAGTAACATGACCACCAGGCAGATATTTAACGGCACCCCAAGCACCCATTAGAATGCCAACATGATGATATAGGTGTAGAAACGTCACTTGTGTCTGCTTCTTTCTGAGTACGAAAAAGATGGTGTCCATCAAATCCAGTAACTTGATAAAAAAATACAGCCAGACCAATTTGGTGATCTGTTTAATAGGCAAATATATACAATAGACATTAATTCAGCAATTTTCTTGCTCATATCTTATTTTTATGTAAATAAAACTGTAAGGGCTCAGACACAATGACAAAAATAAGGAATAAGATAAAGGAATAAGGAATAAGGGAATGTCGCATCTCACTTCAGTACACGTACATTAAAATGAGATGCAACATGCCTTATTCCTTATTTCTTTATCTTATTTCTTATTTTTCTCATTGTGTCTGAGCCCTAAAAGTAAAGATGTTTGTTCTTATATAAACTAAAAAAAAAATTACTACAATAATACCGCTACTTTAAATTACACAAGATGCATTTGTTAATGTAAATAAATTGATGTCTTAAAATTAGATAATTTTAGCGAAAGTCAATTTCTAATTGAATAACTTCTTCTTACCTGTAGAGCCTTTGGTGTATTCGAAAAATCGACAGGTTGGCAAAAGTAATTATATTCTCCTAACCAACCTTCTGTTAATGCCTGAAATATATAATTACAAAGTAAACTTTTTCAAACAGAGTGAGAGCTTAAATAAGTATTTATAATTATACTGGATTATTATTATATGAAGGGGTAAAAACCATAGTAATGTAAATCAAATTTTTCAAGATATTGACTCGTATGCATAGATGCAATTTACGTATTGTATAGATTGCATCTATATGCACACAAATCAATATTTTAAAAAATTTGACTTACACTATTATGATTTTTATTTCCTCATGTTGCATGCACAATATTTAGTTATTTAATGCCCGGAAATTCGCAGAATTCGTCAAACTAAATTTCACACTTTAAAGACTTGTTATCTTAAAACTCAATTTTTCATTGTTCTTATTAAATTACATAATTTAATAAAAAATAATTTTTTAAAGATTTATATCAACTTCTGTGAATAATAGAAAATATTTTCATCTTTTCTTTTTTATAAAAATATAAAATATTTTTGTAAAACAAATTAGAGATTAAATAATTAATTAAAAATGTAATGTGACTTACTTTGTAAAATAATATTGCATTTAATAGAATTTGTGACACATTATATATTTGCAATATCCTGTTCAATTTAAAAGGCTGTCTTTTTTCCATAAGTCTCGGTCCAAGATTACATATAAAATATAGATACACTCCAATCAAAGTTAAGCCAGGCCATGGCGAGCCGATTAGGAAATAATCTTTAGTACGTGGATCTTGCAATATAAGAAATAAATAAAATTAATAAATTATTAGAAGTTTATTAAATTGTTTTTATTGCGTGTTATAACACGTATAAATATATATAAATAAAATTATTCACAAATAATTATTCTAAATATTTTAAAATTCGACGTAGATAATGCCTTATAATGCTTTATATATAATTACACGACTAATGCATTATACAATTGTACATAAAAACTGATATAAAGTACATACTGATAATAATCACTTATACTTATATAATACTTTTATTGCCAAAATTAAGAAAATCAGCTTGAAATACTAAACTAATAAAATAAAAATGTCTAAAATAAAGATATGACAAAAATGGTCTTATTTCTGTATGACTTGCAGTTATTTCTTTTCTTGTAAATTTCAATTAGTTATTTTGTTCTTACTAGGTGAGAAACAGGTAGTAATGATGGTTTCAGTAATGGCAGTTTCAGTAATGATGTTAATTGATCTGGTTGTTATCGTATTATAATGATATATATTGCATGATATACATAATCGAGCAGAATGCGCAAAAAAAATATACTAAAAAATTGAAATGGACTTAATAATGTACAAATAAATGTCACTGCAGTGTTATAAACTATGTGTTACGAGAGATAACGCAATCATATGCAGCTTCTTAAATACTGTTAAATTTTAGGAATTAATTTTTAACATTATTTTATAAATACTTATAAATATATAAATATATAATCTCAAAGGCTTCGTTTGAAAGATACAGAATGTTAAAAATTTTATAAAACTATCGTTTATTGTCTTAATAGCTCCTAAACAAAAAGAGATTTTATTTTCAAACTCCGTTCAGTGACTAGGCACATATTAACTGACACAGAATGATTAATTTAACTTAAAGATGTGCTTGTACTAAATGCGGATTATATGGATATTTCCGTAAGTCAGTACTTTATATTTGCATATTTCTACATGTAAATTTCAAGTAGTTCTCATGTATATATATTTATAATTTAACACAAGCAAAATTAAAATAATTCTTAATAAATTAATATCTTAATTTTTCAAACAAATTCAATGTTATTAAAGAAGATTTCTTTTTCCTAAAATATTTTTATAATTTAGGGACATTATAAATTATTTGCTCTCTCTTATAATAATATTTTATGAGATTTTTTAATACAATAAATTATTCTGAAAATATAAAAAATATCCTTAAATATAAAAAATCTAATGTAAGTAATAAGATAAAACATTTACCCGCCAAATCTTCGTTAACGTATTTATAAAATGCTATAAGTTCCTCTAACATTGCAGTCATTATGATGATATCGAACAAACTTTGGTGGTATCTTTATAAATCGTCATGCGATTAGTCAGGCTTATCACGATATTTACACGAAGAACGTTAATTGATTAATGTCTTATTCTTCTTCATTAATAAGTCAGTTACGATGAAAAAGCGTGTTTTTTAATTACAGCTTTTTTCAAGCACTTATTCCGGATTATTTTCGATTCTGGTGAACTGAGTAACACGAGGCTTGACGTTTTATTTGACTACTTGAGGGATACCTTTACTGGCCACTCTTTTCAACAATTTCTTTCAACGCGACTAGTCACCACGAAGCTTCAAAACCGACTGCGACATTGCGTTTTCCCTTTCTGCTCCGTCATAATGTTAACATCTCATTGTATTGTAATTATAGTAAGCTTGTGCAATAAACACGGGATCTTCCAAGTATCGCACTGATGTCTACCCCTTCTAGCTAACCATGACCTCTTAGGCAACTTCGCCCATCATTACAGTAGTGAAAAAACATTGAATATTTAAAGATAATTATATTATGAGAACAAAAATTTCAAGTTGGAAATTTAAATTTCAACCTTTCACCCTTTGTTGAATTTTCGATCTTTTACCTTTGATCAATTTAACCAGTCTATTGATTATACAATATAGAGGTGTATTCTGGAGCATATAATGTGGAATCAATATTTGATATGTGTCATTCATTAAATATGTGTTTTAATCATAAGAGTTATGTAGTAAGTAAGGAAGATATATTACATACACACACACATTATACACACACATTCATATTTTCTAAAATAATTTTACATAAAGAGCATAAAATTATTATAAAATTCTAATTAAAATTATTCAAAATTATCATTTGTCATTGATCTATTTTAAAATAGAGATATTGGTGAATTTAAATTTGTGCTTGATATTATAAGAAAGAACTAGAGAATGTTATTAATCTTAAAAGATATACAATTGTTTCAAAATAAAATATAATTTTGCATTATATACTCTGTATATCTGAATCAGTGACTATTCACTGATATCAGTCTAAAGTATGCCACTTCAGTGACTTTTCACTGATTCAGATTTAGAAAGTATCAATAATATTTTAACATCTCACGTACTGCACGTATGAATAAAAATAGTTTTTCAAATTAAGCCCAATAAAGTATTTATCTCTTCCAGTTGACAGCCCTATAGTCGACATAGTTAATTTCCAAAATTTTTCAAGCTCCTAATTTGTAGGCAACACAATTCTTTAGTTTCAGCTTTCTCGCGGATAATTGCGGTTAATTACAACGTAATTGCACTTACTCAGAATGCTCAGACGCGTGACGTATCATTAAGAATACGAATATGGAGCATTGCAACAATCACGAACATTCACCGACATTCAAGAAAAGATATGTATACTGCAACGTTATTATTTCTGCAGTTTTAAAAAACCTATTTGCCCACATTGGCAATTTAGCCAACATTGTTTCGTCAAAAATATTGAAAAAATTTATCATTTATTATAATTATTCAAATTTCATCATTTGATATGTTGTTTCTACTCTCAATATTTCTTTATATGTTTTAACTTTTTCTGGCTAGTAATTCAAATTAATTTACGTCAAAAGATGAGGTAATATTAAATTAACATTATGTTAAAAAGTATTAGAATTTGCATTAAACTGATAAATGTATATAATGCTTTACTATTATTTGCACTATTAAACCTTAATGAAACATTCTTCTTTTTCAATGACTTATAATTGCTGATGCCACAGATATTTAAAAATAGGAAATAAAAAAAAATAAAACTATGTAACTATTTTCTGTTATTTTTAAAATATTTTGTCGTTTTAAATATTAACTAAATATTATTTTAAGAAGTAATTTATAATAATATGCCAATAAATTAAATAATAATGCTAAGAACTTTTTCTACCAAACCGTACCGAAGCACTGTTTGATTTTTGGTTACATAACAAAATAAAGAAATTTTATAAAAATTTATTTAATCCGAGAACAAACAAGCCATTTTTTGTTTTATTTAAATGTATTCGAGTTCACAATAGATTGACAGATCGTTTAACATATATGTACAATGTGCTGGTCACTGACTGCGTAAAACAGGCACTGACATATTAATGTACTAATTATAGAAAATATCCTTTAATTGAGAAATATTATAAACAAGTTCTTCTTTCTATTCACCTTGCCGTTGGTTTTTATCGCTGTTGTTCATTGATGTTTCAATGTTAATAAAATCACGATTTACGTCAAACATTACATAAGCTGTTTCATTGACTTTAGGCATTCTTGTCATGTGAAAGGTTAATGTAAAAATAACAGCTTTAAAAAACTTTTTAATAGTTAAAAAGAAACATTACCCCCACATAATATCATAATTATATACAGAGTAATATTGCAGCAAGTTTTTTTTCGATATTTTGGCTCCTTATTCATTATTGTGTTATGTTATAATTGATTACATATTTCTGCAATCCATGTAAGAACTACATATGTTTCTTAATATCTTTTTTCTGTTTAATTTTTATTCTCACCAATTTAAGGGCTGTAAAATTAACATCAAGCATCAACAACGTTTGTCGTGCTTAACAATTTAACGTACTGTCACTGACATGCAATATTTCATGTTACATTAGCGACATCTCTCAATTAAGTTCACAGTTATAATTAATGCTTGCCAGAATGCAAGAATTGTGTACTATTACTCGTAAATAGAATTGCTCTAAAACTCCTAAAGTAAAAGTAGTAAATGACGATTTTCAATTATAGGTATGTAGAATCTTATATTTTATCTTACATTTTTATAATCTATAAAGAGTATAAATAGTAAAAAAGCAATAGCAATATTATATACAAATTTAAAAGTTTGCATATAGTAATGTCTCCGTGAATTTTGAAAAATACTGTGTGTAGGTACATATAATTGTGTTTCTTTCTTCCAAGTACTTATTAGATAAATATATTATATTAATTTTTATAAGAATTATAATGTTAAATTTATTTATTATATGAGAATTATATCAAATTAATAGGTTATTTATTTCGAGATAAGCTTTTGGATTTGACATATTTTATTTGATAAGGATAACAATACAATTGATGTGATATCCTTATATCTATATATATTTGTTTTGTTACCAATATGATGAATGAAATTCATATGGAGCGGAAACGAAAGCCTTAGTGAGTTCTAAGGCCGCGACCTCGAACTCTTGCATTCGTCAGTTTGTGCGATGATAGTTTATAATTCAAGTGATTTCACGCATATACACACACATACACACACATACACACGCACACACATTGATTTCGTAATAATTAATTACTCATCACGTAATAACAAATATTTGTTCAATATTTCAGAAATTTGAAGTAAAAATATAAAAAATATTATCGTCGAACACTAACTAGTTCTCATTTAACGGTTCATCCGAAAATAATTAGTGTCTTAGCAATTTTACTAACAGAAATTAGATTCAAATATTATAAAAAACGATGTCAAATCTGCCTATACGTTATATCAGTTCTACTCTAATGTTTATATCCATTAATTAATACCATTTACATAGTATATATAATGTCATTATATATACTATGTAAATGGTATTAATGTAAAAAATTTTTAAAAATTGACAATTTTTTTTATTGGGTACGATAATGCGAATGTGTGAAGATCGCTCGAGAAAGAGAAATTATTTCGTTATAATATAAGAAGCAACCGATTAGTTTAATTATATGGCTCGAAATCTGCACGTCATTGCTTCCGATTATAAATATCGTGACTTGCGAGACACCTATAGTATCCATGCGATCAAGAACCTGTGACTGTAAAGGAAATGATTGATCAGAAAATAATAACTGTTATTAAATAATAATGAATTATTTATGTATAATTGTTAATAAAATGTGAATGAACATAATATATAAATTTATATAATTCTTTATCATTATTTATATATAATTATATAATTAATAATTAATATCTTAATAGTTATTGGAATATTCAATGCAGAAACCTCTATGGTATAATTAACTTTTTGTTATCTTTTCCAAAAATTTTTTTACAAAATTTTTAGTGATAAAAAATTGTAAGTTAGAAAAATCGTAACCAGTTACTTTCATGTACTTCACACAATACTCACCTTTGTACATCACAATTAGTATACGTTGCGTTTTCACATATTATAAATTTCAGCATGCATAATATTGCATAACTTTTTATATTTGCATCCTAATGTATTTTTATATAACTATACCAATATTTAAACTTTTATATATATACCTAAAATATTTTTTAATTAAAAATACAAAAATAATTTATTCAATATTCAATACAACTCATTTCAACCTTTGTCTCTGTTATTACGTCATCTCGATGCTATTTGATCTATATTTAAATTCCAGTGAAAAATTTACCTGTTGTTTTTCACGTTAATAATGTAACAATAAGAATTTCGCTCTTCATGGAATAAAGTAGAAAAAGTATGTGTGAGACAAAGAGGGGAAGATAGAGAGAAAGAGAAAGAATAAGATTTCCTTATGTATATTTGATGTACTGGTAGTTTGATTTTTGCGAGTCATTCCCTTCTGCAATTTATATAAATAATGTATACCTTATTCCATTGTTTCTATATCATCGTTCTTACAATTTATATTTTATAATATTAACAATATTCTAATTCTACTACATTACATTCTTCATAATAATAAGTTTGGCCTTTTAAAACGTAATTTTTTAATAATGTTTAGTTGCTTATAATTTAAATTACTAAAAAAAGAAAGTTACATTTTTTCTGTTTTAAATAAAGTTTCATGCAATTTTAATTAAAAATTGCTTATAAAGATAAATAATACCATAAAAAGTTAGAAAAAATGCAATAAATAATTGTTAATAAAATTTTGTTATAAAAAAAACCAACTTTATACTAGTTAGAGTGATCAATAATTAATTCAATAATTTTCGCAAAAAATAATGCGATAGAAAATTATTTAGTATATTAATAAATTTTGATTTTCTATGTTTATTACACAATATTATCTCGATATAGTCAAAGTTTATTTTAATATTTTGTTTCTTTTTAAATTGTAACAAGCCTCCGTGTTTATATTTAATGAGTAGGTTTTTATTTTTTCAGAAATATGTATGTGTTTAGCAAATATGTTAAAAAAATAACATTAGCAAACAACAGTAAAAATATTTTTTGTACGAAATTAGTTTTTAACTGATATGGCAAGAAACAGTTATATTTGTGATGAGATGATAAATTATATTATTCCCCCGTTTATTTTATAATATCTCTTCATAAAAATAGAAAGTTATTGAATCTTTATTAAAAAATTAAATAGTCAATGGTCTTGATGAATAATTACATACTGAATACTTAACCATATCAGTCAAACACTTAAATAATCAATATTGCTTATTGTACATTAGTATCTATATATAGAATATATAAAACACTACTATGGAGAGGTAAAAGCCAAAGTGGTGTAAGTCAAATTTTTTAAAATATTGACTCGTATAAATGCAATCTATACAATATATAAATTGCATCTATGTATACAGGAGTCAATATTTTTATAAATTTGACTTACACCATTATATAGCTTTTACCTCTCCATTATATAGAAGTTTGTTTTTTCAAAGCAGATATTACTGTCATTTGCTTAGAAATTCAAGATATCGACGAAGACAGAGTAGGTACAATATATTTCTACTAAATCGGCGCTGGATTTTATATTATGAAGAAATTTAATTGTTTGATTTGTTCGTGCAACCATCGATAATAGCATTGAATAATTCTGTTTTATCAATGTTTGGCAAGAAATCTTTTACAAGTATCTTTTACAGATTTCTTTACATTATCTTTACAGTTTATCTTCTAAAACTTTCTTGATCGTAAAAATTAATTATAGTACATCCTTAATAACATAAATATGTAAATTATAATATCTAAAATCTCAATAATTCAAATACGATGTATATATCAAAAGAAAATTAAATTAATGTATTCTTTGAAAATGTCGAATACATTTCGTGAAGTATTACAAAGTAACGCAAAGATGCGTTCTGTCATTTTCTTTAACACTAAAAAGAATTTCAAAATTTTTAAAATTTTTATATTTTTCTGTAAAAAACATATTGTGCAGCAAAATTATATAATAAATACACACAAACATACATCTAAAAGATTATCGCTGTCTCAATTGCTTTGTTTATTTTTTACATCGTAAAAAAAGATTTGGAATTAAATTTGCAAGTATATACTCTTATATATACTGAGAATATACTATAAGTAGTATAAGTAAAACAATTTCTGTGTTTCAAAGCAAAATTTAAAACATAAATTTGGAACGTACGCAATTACGTGATCAAGACGTACATTACTAAATTATAAATTTTTTAAATACACAGAAAAAAGAATATTCTTGATTTGAAAATATCTTTAGTTTCAACGTGGAAATCTTTAAATGAGATTACATTGCATTAAACTTGCTTGAACAAAACTTGCTTGAATGAAATCATTATATAGTGCAACCAAGAAAAAAATGTTAAAATAAAAAATTGAAATTCTTATAAGATTTTAGTGATCTTGATTATATACAAAACAATCTATATTTTCTTATAAGAATTTCAATTTTTTATTTCAACATTTTTTTCTTGGTTGCACTGTATAATGACTTCATTCAAGCAAGTTTTCTTCAAGCAAGTTTAACGCAATATAATCTCATTTCAAGATTTCCACGTTGAAACTAAAGATATTTTCAAATCAAGAACATTCTCTTTTTCTGTGTAGAACTTCGAAACATAATTTGATAAGCTTATTCTAGCTACATATTTCATGCCAGATCGTATTATGCATCTCATTAATATCACTTCGCAATTCGAAAAGGCATACATTTTTTATGCAAGAGTAATACTTCAATCTTCTATAGATCGCGCGTAATTCGCGTAAGGATCGCTTGTAAGCAGATTGTTCTTGATACAAATAAGAGTCAAATCTATCTTTACTCATATTTGTTAGATACCATTCTTTCGTACGTATTAATCTACTTTCGTAACATGCATTGTACAAATATCGGCGGAGTAATCGCGAGGGAGAAAATTATCTAGCGTGACATTTTATTACGTTACAATACAAGAATCCGCTCCCTAATTAACTATGAAAAAATCTTGAAAAAAAAAAAATCATTCTTCTGCTCTCACACTTACAGTTCTACGGGTAGAAAGACTCTGCAACGAGTCCTTTAATCGGATTTACCACGGTCCATCTCTTTTGAGATTGCGTGACCATTAACACTAGTAGTGCCGTTAGCAGCACCATTGGCCTTCAATTCCCGTCGCACGTTCGATTTCATATAATTATTCGCGTAGAACGATCCGAACATGTAAATGAACAAGCCGGCGTTGATCGTGAGCAGGAACGACAGCGGCTTCGGGAAGTTGCAGCTGGTAAAGAGCATTTGAATATTATGGGAAAATACTATGATGAACTGCACGATCTGCATGGTAGTCAGATGCTTCTTCCACCAGAGGTACTTCTGCATTTGCGGCCCGAACGCGGCCAGCATGTAATAGGTGTACATGAAGACGTGGACGAAGGAGTTTATGACGCCGAGAAGGGTCGGATGACCGCCAGCGAAGAACTTGACACCGATCCAGGCGCAGACCGGCATCAACGAGTGATGATAGAGATGCAGAAATGAGATCTGTCGATCTTTCTTCCGTAAAACAAAGAACACCGTGTCCAGTAGCTCGATCAGTTTGCACATAAAGTATAAGTACACGGCGTGGGCCATCTACAAAGGAATAATTATATAAAGATTGAGCGGATATACGCTAATGATAGATTGTAATTATTAAGTCAAGCGACAATTTTTCCCAGGAGAACGGAACGCCCCTTCACCTAAGGCGGACTTGGAATCTACATTGAATTTGAGCACTGGATTAAAGTTGCCGTAATAACGGGTGCAACAGTAGAAGCTTGTTAGAAAAATACCTACTCAATTTAAGTGCATTAAATGTCTTCAAAAGCCTTATTACCATAATTTTCCCGTACAGCACGGAACAAGTTGCAAATACATTGTGTAACATTAGATTTTTTGTCGTAAAATTATTGTAATATTGAAGTAGCCAATAAAACATCCGCTTTGAGAGAACTTGCGGTGTAATATTATCGCAATATATTAATGCAACGTCCTTATAAACGTGCAGCAATATAGGATGTATATTAGATGCTTACAAATAATTTTAATGATACAGATATGAAAAGCGTATGGAGAAGGAGATGTCCTTTGCCCCACAATTTGCAAGTAATTGCAATATTGCGGAATATAATTAAAATATTCCGTGCTATATGGATTGTTATAAGAGTTATTATGTTAATAACGGCGATCAGACTTACCCTAATTGAACTCGGTTTATATGTGTAATCGACTGGTTGACAAATAAAACTATATTCGTACAACCAGCCACCCATTAAACCTTCGTGAACCAGATAAAGACTTAACAGAACCTGAATGAAATTATAAATTATTAAAGTGTTTCTCAAGTCGTACGGCTTCTTGTCCTTCATGTATCTCGGTCCGGCGGAAATGCAGAAGTACAAATATGTCGCTATGATCGTCAGGACAGGACCGGGACTAGAGACCAAAAACCATTCTTGCGTTCTCGGATCTATAAGAATATAAGTGTTTTAACATATAATGTAATATAACGCGTTAACATGTAACATTATTTCTTTTTTAATATAATTCTGTTGTTATAAAATTACCATGTTTGTTGTCCATCAAATCTCTATACCACTCCACGATGTACGACATCTCGCAGTCTAACTTCGTAAATCTGCAAAAATACATTGTAAATTAGTTTAAAATATTAAAGTTTGATTTGTCTAACATAAATTTTATATTCTTTTTCTTGCAGAAATTTAAGAAGAAATTTATTCTCACCGCGTTTTAATAACAAATAACAATTAACAAATAGAATACAAAAGTCTAATTTGATAAATTACAGTTTATATATATTTGTGTATTAATAATAATAATAAAATATTTTATCTTCTTTAGAATATTCTTATCTTTTTTTATAGAAATTAATAATAAATATGTAATAGAAAAAGTACAGCTGTGTGAAACAACATGCGTTATCTTATACAAAGTATAAGATTTAATTATTTTATTTATTATAAGTTTATAAGTTTTATATGAATTAAAAGTTAATTATGTCTTAATTTTACCGCTATTAATTTTACCGCTTATGAGAAGAAAAGACTAGATTACTCTATGAACAGTTGCGACATTGGTATTGCAAGATAATGCAGTTATGCAGAAAACGCGCATTTAAAAAACAAATGACTATGAAAGTGTTCTGCTTGTCTCCTCGGCCGTCCTTGGTGGTCCTAATGACAATATAAATTACAAGGGACGGTAAGGGAATGGAAACTTGTTTGCGCCTTTTCCTAAATTGCAACGAGCGATTGCAACGGCCGTAAGATATATAGGTGCAATTTTAATTAGCATTCAACGAACACTGCGAAAGACACAATTAAATTTTGAATCCCTGAAATTTTATATAAGTGGACCAAAAGTCGATTCCTTCAACGCCAACTAAATACAACTATAGCGTAACTATATTTTTGTCTTTTTTTTTAGAATCATTAATTACATTATTTCTTAGAAGAGACATTCGGAACCTCAGAAAAGCTCATTCAGAAACTCAGTTAAAATTAGCTGATATCATAGAAGTCTAAGTCTAATTCGTGTATTTTAGATGTGACACTATTTTTAAAGAAAATTACCGGGTAAGTTATGCAGCGTGTAATCGATATTACGAAAATTTCATCTGCGGCACGCATGAAATTAATAAACGAATATTTAGATTAGTATGTGGAAATACAAGAATTAATCTTTTTAACGTAACTTCTTAATGTATACTTCTACCGGATACTTTTTTTAAATATAATCTTCCTATTATAGCATCTGACTAATATTTTGCGTATTATTTAAAAAATGTAAAAGAAGACTGAACACGTTGAATAAAAAGTAGGAGCAAAAACGAAATATTCGTGGCACGATTGCATTTATGTGCGGTATTTTCAAGAATTCTGATCATCTATCAAGTTGAAAGATCTTTCAAGTCAAAGATCTCTCTAGCTACGGGTCAAGTGCGAATCAAGGTGAACGAGATTTCTGTGAAGTTGCAGCAAAGCAATGTCTTTCCCCGTTGCTGCTCCCCTTGCATAAACCAGATAGACGATCGGACTTCCCCAATGATCGGTCTCGTTCTACACGTCATGATTCGCTCAAAAGAGATTCATAGAAGCGATTTTCTTTCGTAATTATTTGCAATGATACGTTAAAAAGCTCTTTGTCATATTTAATTGATTCTAGAAAAAATTATTTAATTGTTTTAATATCAAGAGACGCGATAGCCAAGTATATTTTTTTCTTATTTTACTGAACTACTACGTAAGTACGTAGTTTTATATGAGAGGTCCTAGATTAAAAGAGACTAACAACGGGCCGTAAATTCACAAGGTGCAATCTTACGTAAGTATCGATATATTTTTTAAAAATGTATCCAATTATCATTTTTCTAAGCAGCAAAACATTGATAATTTACTTCAATACAAGTAATACGATAATGACACTTGTGCAGCGAGCGTGTCGCAAGAACCGAAGAACCGACTAGTCATACTGTTGTCTTATGAAATCATTATTAGCAGTAAATCGTCGTTTAACAACGGGTTTTAAAAAGAAACGATCAAGATCTTTGGAGGACAACGATATGACTGCGGCCAAATTTCTGTGGTTAACCGCGGTTCGCGGGGAAAAAAAAAACAATTTCTCTTTGCGGAATACCATCTCATATGTTGCCGCTTACGTCGTTAATGCTACCTACGAAGCATTTTCGACTTGATTTAGCTTAATTTTCATTTAATATTAAATAAGGATTGATATTAAATGTATCCGGATACGAAAAAGGAATTAAATTAGGTGAAATTTTGTTAAAAGTTGCGGCAAATAATGCATTTACGAGACACTTTATTCTTGATATAGAATTATAAGGATAGGGCGTCCTTGAATGAAGAACCTTGACGAAAAAATTGAGCATAAACCGGTTGCGATGTTTCGCGGGGCTTCCCACAAATAAAGATCTAAGACAAGATGTGAAAATAAAAAGAAATCGTAATAATGATGTGACCAAAGGTTATGAATGACTTGCTCCCGTTGGAAAACTACATATTTCTTCTTATTATGTGTATAAAATCATAAAAGATAATAAGATTTTAATTATTTTAATTGTACGGTATAACGGTTATTGTATGATAATTATTTCTTTGTATTATATCTTATTCATATATAAATGTTACAATGAAATGACCTCAAAATTGTTTGTAAATTCGCGCGCCCTACACGCGAGATTAATTGATTTGATCATCAATAAGAAACGCTAATCTTAATAATACATCAAATTTCGCATATTTTCGAATAAAGAGACACTTCACGGCTTCGGTAAAGATAAATGTACTTGCTTATGTGCAATTTTATAAGGTCGCCCTTTTAAGACTAACAAAATAAGAAAGATTGAAGTAAATTTCGTGAGTGTTCCACCTTGAGACCAGTTGTTGAACGAGACGGTGACCGCCAAAAGTTTATGCATCCAGCCGAGAAATACGTTTGATCATACATATACATTACACATTTGGACCGGAAATATAATTATTTTAATATACATTCAATATCGCTAATATAATTGTAGTAAATTGCATTAAATCTTTTTTAGTATATTGTGGATAATCGTGGTGTTTTAACATAAAAAAATCGTAGTAATTTCAAGGAAGACAGTACAGTAACGTTTGAACGGTATCGATTCTTTTTTTTCTGTAATTAAAAAATTCATAATTAAGAGGTAACGTTTTTCTATTTATTCTCTGACCGCACATTATTCTACAAACATCTTCATAAACAATTATGCAAATAATTTACAATCAAAGTATAAATAGTGTTTAGAAATTATAAACGGCATCCGCGTTTCCTAGGACTTTTGAAATAAAAATATTCTTCTCCTGTATTTAATCCATGGTCGCGTATATATGTATGCATGTAAATATGCGGATGTAAATACAAGGATCTATCTGTTCTGCGTAATTCAAAGCTGTAATATTTCAAACCCTTTCTTAAACATTTACAAACCACTTATCTGCTTGGTTTTGTCAAAATAGCAGCTTATTAAGTCCAACACTGTAGTTGAGAAGTACTCAACGACCGATCACGAAAAGGCTACTTCGTTGAAAATATGAAAGTAGGCGAAATATTGCATCCTAAGATAATAGGTAGAGTCTACACGTAAGAAATCGTTTTTTTTTGTATAATAAATATAGGTAAACCTAAAAATATACGGTTTTAATAATTATAAATAAAGTGCCTCATATCAATAATAAATACGTCTTCTATGATATTGAATATGTATATGTTGTAAAGTTCAGAAATAATACAATCGTGTATTTCTTACTAATAGAAATTAAATCTTTTCTTTATATTCGAATACAATATGTAACGATCATGTGACTAACTAATTCCCGAAACTATTTGATTCCCACCCGCAGCAATTTGAATTGCATTTATTGATAAATCATATACCTCATTTAATATTAATATATTCACAGTCGCAATAATGATGTCAGAATCGGAAAATACTACGCGTACGTAAAGTGTGAAAAAGTGCTTGTAGTAAAATATGATGAATAAACATAGGATAATAGATTATAACTGAACATACAAAAGAAAGATTCCTTATGCGTAGATTCTAGCTATTACATTAGAATGCAATATTTCGCCTGCTCTCTTTCACATTTCCAACGAAATGACCTTTTCGTGATCGGTCGCTGAGTATTTCTAAAATACAGTGTTAAACTGGATACTTTATTATTATATTGTTAACTCACGAATGATTACGTCCTCAAAGCCGGAAGCCATTCTTTACGGAATAACACCTACAAGAACCGTCTAGATTTATCGATTACGTTTTTTATATTCATCGACTATAAGATTATTGGTTCATATTAAATCTTAAATTGCTTAGATTATTTAAATTTCTTCAATAGAGCGAGTTGTTGAATAAAAAGATAATAATGTTAATTAGTGTCAACCACGATTGACGTACAAAACACAGAGTCCTTCTAATCACAAAAAATACACGTACGTATAATAATAACAATTGTTATTGTTTACACTATATTTTACACGTGCATCGATACAATAATACGTAAAATATTAGCTAATTCATATCAAATACTAAATTGTTTAAAATTTTAAACTTTAATAGAGTGAGTTGTTCAATGAAAAGACGATAGATAATATTAATTATCGTGCCAGCTACGATTGACGTAGAAAAAAAATACAGATTCCATTTAATCACAAAAAATACACGTGTAATAACAACGGTTTTTATTGCTTACACTGTATTTTACACCTACATCGATATAATGATATAATACAAGACTATTTTTATTGTATATACAGTGTCTCTTTACGTACATATTTCTTAGTCTTGGATTATAAATAATAATATTTTACCACAAAACGAGCGTATCATTTTGATTTTTTTCTTTATATTTGATTATTTTCTTTATATACTTTGTTTTTTGGATAGTTCTTGATATCTTATACTCATTCATTGTGATAAGCAGGAAATTTACCTTAAATGGAAAATATATGTTTCCTCTCAAATTTTCTTTTTCAATCCTTTTTCAATACAAATTATATATATTATCACGATTTCCACGACAAAGTGAGTGGAATATAGAAAAATGTAGAATAAATCTCGTAGAAAATGTATAATTAATTCATTTAGTTTATAATATAATTACACCCACAGTTCAAAATATTTGGAATTTTTTATAAAAAATTAGATTAAATAGATACTTAAGAAGTATCTTGTTAAAGGCAGTTTTCGATTCATAATGTAAATTTTATAAGCTTATATAAACAGATAATGGCCAATTTAATAAACGTTATTAACTACGATAGCTCTAGATGTAATTTATTAATTTCAAACAATTAATGTTCTATTAATAACTGTTTGAAATGCGCTCTACACTAAAAAAAGTGTAAAAATACGTATACGTTGCGGTGTTTCCGCGCTCTTTTCGTATTTGCATTCTGCACGTGCCACGATATGCGTAGCAAAATGTTTATTCGGTTCTTACGGAACGAATTATGTGGTACGTGCGATGCTTCAAGTAAAGAACAAATAAAAAACACTTTAACGAATATATGTACATAAAAGTGCGTATTATTCTCGGTGTAGCTGCGATATTGTTGCTCCTGTGCGCAAACTGCATCACCGATTAAATCGATCGGACAAAATTGATTGGGTTCTTTCTCCGTTTTCTGTCGTAAGTTCAAAGATTAGGTATCGATGTCACAAATCGTTAATTGGTCCACGTAAATTACTATCAATATCCAACGTTCAGAGGTAATTAGCGAATAAAACGTAAGTATATCGAAACATTTAATCAGCGAAACACTCGGAGAATAAAAAAAAAATACTGTGTCCAAAATGTTTAATTGACTGTATTAACAGGAAATAAGTAATTATCAGATTCTCTCTCTCTCTCTCTCTCTCTCTCTCTCTCCTCAAACAAAATTTTTATAACGAAAGCTTCGAATGTACGGTAGCACAAGTTATTTACGGATATGTCTGGTGTTCTTTTCTACGCTTTCTTAAAACTCTTCTTTGTAGTATATTGTTCTCGGATTTTTATCTTGTTAATACTTGTTAATACTTCAGTATTAACGTATGGACCTTCGGCCACGTTTCCTTATTTACGCTTCATACGTACGTATGTGTAACTAATTTTGCGGTCGATAGGTATCTAAATAAAATAATGGCACGTCATTATCAGTTGCGTTAAAGTCAGTGACTTTCTCGGCCGCGTCCTTAAAAAGTTCCGGCCAATTCACGCGTCCTTCGGCGTCGAGACTTGCGAGGAAATTGTCTGAATTCGCGATCGGTCGATGCTTTATATACATATATATTCCTAATGTCTTGTCACGGAAACATTAATATGTATGTTGCTCTTCTGGAACATACGGACATATCCTGCAGTTGTTAATTCTTAAATAGCAGAGGGCATAAGGGGGTCACTGAATACACGAATCGCATTTCGATTGTACATAATAATTGTGAAATGTCCGTAAAACCGGTATACATACCATCGCCATATTTGTGAGTTTATATAGAAAACTACAGCGATTAGATGTGCGTTTTAAATTTAATATTGTATTCATAAAATTAAAATATTTTTTTCTGAATAAATAAAGCTTTCCAAATCAAAATAAAAAATCATTTGTCAATTGTATGTTCTCATTTCTACGCTTAATTTGAGTGAAATTAATTCTAATGCATAATAATGCATAATAATGTGGATATCATGAAAATATCATAGAAAACGGGATGTTAAAAATTAATATAACTTTAATAATTACTGGAATTAATTAAACAGTAATTAGTCAAACAACGAATTTCAAATGTATATGAACTACAAATTTAATATACGTATTAATGAGATTCAATGGGTTGCAAAAGACTTGGAAACCGTTCACTTATAATTTCATTGAGGCATGCAAGTGAACGTGGAAGTGATTGATAGTCTTTTCTACATTGCCATATGCATTTACAACTATGGAGAGATTTTAATATAACGATGTTTTCCTTTGTTTCTCGGCTTACCGCGTAAGTAAATCCACTTTATTTATGTAAAACTAGTATTAGTAGCTGATCAAATCGGGATAAGCCCAAAACAGAAAGAAACACTGTACTTATGTGATTCAGTTGAGCAGACTATTTAGCGTGACAAACAGACAGATAAGTAGATAGATAAGTAGACACGTATCTAATTATGTATTTATCACAATTTCTTCATATATACTGCGTACAAAAGAATAATTTTAATATCTCGAGATAGCGAACAATGATACTATATAATAGTCAAATTTTAATTATATTATAATAACAATATAATTAAATAATTATTAAATAACAATATAATTAAACGTTGAATTTTTTATCTTTAGCGTATAATTAGCGTTATGATAAAAAATTAAAATAAATAAAATAAAAAATTAAAGTAAAAAAATATCAACGTTTTCGAAATTGTATTTGAAAACAGAAGTCACATATTTTATATAATGTTTACGTTCAGGGAAACACTAGTATAATAAGCACTTAACCAACAATTTGCGTTGATCGGATTATACTTTTAGATCTAAAGGAATCATTCTACCACAACTCAGACGTAAATAAATTCATACGTAATTCTCTACCTATGTAGAAGAAAATTCCTACCTTTATAGAAGAAAATTACAAGATTTTTCTAAAATCTTATTATTCTTTTAAGTTATAATGTAAAATGAAGTCGGCCGTTTTTTATATAACAAAATATAATATATGGACAATCGGAGAATGTTATGAAAATATGAGTTTCGCTCTAACAAAAATAATTTTGGATTAATTAAATTTAAAACATAGAACATTGTCTTGTCCGCGCGTGCATGCTTATTCTTTTAAATTTTGTTATCTTTTTATGTAATACTGTTTGATAACAGAGGAAAGACAAATTGGATCAACTATGGATGTTCTTCAACTGTCATCTGAATAAAATTCCCGCAAAATATAATTTATTGATGCTGGATTATAATATTAATACTCACATAAAAATACAAAATAAAATCAGTCACTAAATCTTGACCAAAATCTTCTTGTCACCAGTCAAAGCTAGGATGGCCGGCTAGAATAGCTATTCTCGATCGTGATTTCGCAATTCCAAAAGATCCCTTGGTCCACCGATTTGCGCAGTTTCAATAATCCGGCAGTCTTCGTCAATACTGGCAAGATCGTCGTTGTCACTGGTAAGATGCTCGCTACGATCAGACTCTTTATTATCGGTGCCTACCGTCTATCAGATTTTTCTCACGATCGTCGTTGTTCACACGACTGTTTACCGGATCGGACTGACGAGCGGTATTATGTGTAACTGATTCAAGACACGAGGAAAATCGGAAAAAATAGGAAGGGGTAAAAAAGGAAAACCGACGGCGATAGATGAATAGAGATTAGTCTCCGATGCAAGTTAACGAGAGACTGTTTGAACACCGTGCGTGGAGTGGCGGTTCGTATCTACAGTACAACGGATGCACGACGCTGCACCGCGGGTTCTTTCCCCCTTTCGCAAACGACGTGGACGTCCTCCGGAGCAGTAGCAGCAGCAACAGCAGTAGCGCAATGTATCGACGAGCGAAGTGTTTTTATCAGACCGCTGTCCTTCCTTTCGTCGTGTTGTTATTATGTATTTGGAGGTCTACCACCAACGCGAGATTTATGTATAATTTATATATAAGTAATCAGTAATTCACTTGTAACTGCGTCTCACAAATAATTCGAAAGGGTTTCGAAAAAGAATTATATATAATAGATAATTAAATTATATCAGCACATTAATAAAAACTTTGAAAATAACATTGTTTAGAACTCTGTAATCTGAAGAAGCGTGCCATTAATTTAGATATAAAGCGTTGTATTAGATACAAAAAACGAAAACGACACATTTTAAAAAATAAAAAAATTGAAGTTATGTATAAAAGTTTTTGAGTTATTCTAACCTTGAAAAAAATCTCATTTGTCTTATTTCGCGCGCGCGCGTATATATATTTACAATCATATTACAACACGAACTTTGTATTGGGAATTATGGGCTAGCCATGAAAGCAAGTATCTTTTACTATCGTTGTGTAACTTAATTGCGTCAGAAGAAGCATAAAAATATGAAAAAGGAATGTAATACATAAAATAATCTGGCGCAAACACTTTGGACATCAAACAAAACGTATTACTGAATCAATACTCAGTAAGTCACATGGGAATCCATGTTTTAATCGCTATCTTAGAAAAGGAACAAAGTGGTACATGTCGATTTACATAATTACGATCTTTGTTCATCGTGTCACTCGACTCAATGTGACTTGAGAATTCATGTAATTCTGACCGAAGATTATGGGAATATTTGTATTGTCGTTGTGAAACAGGCGTAACAGAGACCGATTGCGCTTGCACACACACATATCTCTCTCTCTCTCTCTCTCTCTCTCTCTCTCTCTCTCTCTCTCTCTCTCTAATATATATATATAATGTATATTCACGCGTAGTAGTAATTAGTACATTGGCAAATTTCTTACGGCTTTATTGGTTGATTAGTTAACTATCGCTCGAGATTTCTCGCGAAATCCATACCTACTTGTTTGGTTACTTTCGAAATTTATTTTTCTAAATTGCAATACGCCACTCCCTGCAAGCCTATTTTTTGTTATCTTGCGTTATAGCTTCGCTATTGAAACCCATTATCTTACAACGCAAATATGTGACTAATGCAAGTGATGGAAAATTTGTGGTGACGATTGAAAGAAGAAAATGCACAGTAATCCCGACACTGTTTGCAAGAGAAGATTTACATTATGATTTGTGGATTATTAGCAATCAATCAATAACTGTTAGACAATCAATTGTGTAATAATCGGAAGAAACCTTACATATAAGTAATATGTTTCGGATAACGTAACGTTAAGATTAGACATTCGAATAATATGTATTTCCTCCCATGTACTTGTCATAAATTTAAGCTATATATAATATAGTTATATAAAACTTAGCAAAAAAAAAATCATATTTGATACTTTGATCTATCAATTTTATGTACGATTGAAATTAATAAAGCATGCAAAATAAATGATGAACACAGTTATTAGATGGTAATATTTCATATATTTCCATATATCACTATTGTATCTTGTTTATATTATTTACAGTAACGCTTCAATTAATAAGCCAGAGCAAGATGACATTTCATACGTATGCCTGCATCTTGTCTGTAATGTATTACTATCTACAATAATCTGTAATCACGTCCGCGTTTTAATGAGAAGACAGCTTACGTCAGAGCAACTGCAAATAACGTTATTCTCCTCCAGCTGTATGAAAAATTTGCTACCGTATCTAATTTGGTTTTAAAATTGCAAGATTCCTCTAATAAAACATTAGATCTATAGTTAAACGGAAAAGAAGACGTTGCGAGAGACACTTTCCATCGAATTTTATGCGCGTATATCGAGGTCGATCATAAACGCAAGTTGAAAGAACTCGCGGAGAAGGTGCGCTCATGATAACGAAGGTAATGTCTGCAGCTTTTTTGCAGCTCCCTTTAACCTTGCCTGAGGCCTTACCGATCTTTTGTCGCAAGGCAATTTTCTGACACATTATAAATCTCTTTTTGCTGTTGAAGGTATCTATAATTTCTACCAATATAATATTTACAAAATTTGTTTCTTTAATTATTTCTAACAATTTTTATCAAGTCATTTATCATTTATATCACTCTTTATAAGAAGCTATATAAAGTTGTAATTATTGTACCTAATTGTTACTTTTTCTCGCGATATTAATTAGTTCTTTTGTTGTGCGCTATGCTTGATAATTGTTTAGTATGCAAATATCTTTGTAAACTTTAAATGTAAATTATAATGAATTTAATGCTCTCTCTCTCTCTCTCTCTCTCTCTCTCTCTCTCTCTCTCT